ATCAAACTAAAGTGCGTACACACAGAAAAGGAAACAAGGTGAAAAGGCAACTTGTGGGGCAGAAAATATTTGCAAAACATCTACTGGGGGCTACCGTTAATGAAGACACATAAGGACCTCATATATCTCAGTAAAACAACCCAAATAAAAAGTGGGCAAAGGCCCTCATAGACAGTTTTCCAAAGAAGATAATGTTCATGGCCAAAAGTTATGTGAAGTGATGCTGAACATCACCGCAATGAAATGCCACCTCGCACGTTAGGATGGCTGCCATCGGAAAGTCAGAAGATAGCGAGGGTCGGAAAATAAGCCCTTACCCACTGTTGGTAATGTGAACTGGTACCGCTAATAGTATGGAGGTTCATCAGAAAACTAAAAGTAGAACCACTATGATCCAGCAACTCCACAACAACAACAAAATACAACAATATACTTAAAAAAATTTTTTAAAGATTCACTTATTTATTTGAAAGGCAGAGTTACACAGAGAAGGAGAGGCAGAGAGAGAGAGAGAGAGAGAGGCCTTCCATCTACTGGTTCACTCCCCAACTGATCGCAACGGCTGAAGCTGTGCTGATCTGAAGCCAGGAGCCAGGAGCTTCTTCCGGGTCTCCCATGGGGGAGCAGGGGCCCAAGGAGTTGGGCCATCTTCTGTTGCTTTCCCAGGCCATAGCAGAGAGCTGGATCAGCAGTGGAGCAGCCGGGACTCAAACTGGCACCCATATGGGATGCTGGCACTGCAGGTGGCAGCTTTACCCGCTACGCCACAGTGCTGTCCCTTACAACATATTTAAATGAGAACTTTGACTAAGTCAATCTGAAGTGTTCTCACCACACACACAAAATAGGTAACTGGAGATACTGGTACTATGGCATTGCAACACCAGCACTGCATATCAGAGTGCTGGTTCCAGTCCTGTCTGCCTGCTTCCAGTCCAGTTTCCTGCTAACGCACGTGGAAGGCAGTGGAAGATGACCCAAGTGCTTGGGCCCTTGCTACCCAAAGGGGAAATCAGAATGGAGATCTTGGTTCCTGGATTCAGCCTGGCCCAGCCTGGCATGTTCAGCCGTTTGGAGGGTAAACCGGCTCCCTGCTAATGCGTCTGAGAAAACAGCGGAGGATGGCCCAGGTGCTTGGGGCCCCGCGCTCATGTGGGAGACCTGGAAGACGCTCTGAGATCCTGGCCATTTGGGAAGTGAATGAGCAGATGGAAGATTCATTTTCTTTCTCTCCCCTCCACCTCTGTGTAACTCTGCATTTCAAATAAATTAAAAAAAAGTAACTGGAGAAATTTATTTGTTAATTAGGCTGAGTGTGGTAATCATTTCACAATGGATATGTATATTAAACTACCTGTATACCTTAAATTTATAGAATTTTATCAGTCTTACCTCATTAAACCCAGAAAAAGTTTTTTTTTTAAAACAATAGAGGTGGCCAGCGCTGTGGCTCACTTGGCTAACCCTCCACCTGTGGCTCCGGCACCCTGGGTTCCAGTCCCGGTGGGGCGCTGTTTCTGTCCTGGTTGCTGCTCTTCCAGTCCAGCTCTCTGCTGTGGCCCGGGAAGGCAGTGGAGGATGGCCCAAGTTCTTGGGCCCTGTACCTGCATGGGAGACCAGGAGAAGCACCTGGCTCCTGGCTTTGGATTGGTGCAGCACACCAGCCGTAGCGGCCATTTGGGGGGTGAACCAACGGAAGGAAGACCTTTCTCTCTCTCTCTCTCTCTCTCTCTCTCTCTCTCTCTAACTCTGCCTGTCCAAAAAAGAAAAAAAATAGAGGAGGGGCTGGGGCTGTGGCGTAGCGGGTAAAGTTGCTGCCTGTGGTGCTGGCGTCCCATGTGGGCACCGGTTCAAGTCCCTGCTGTTCAACTTCTGATCCGCTCTCTGCTATAGCCTGGAAAAGCAGTGGAAGATGACCCAGGTGCTTGGGCCCCTGCACCCACGTGGGAGACACAGAGGAGGATCCTGGCTCCTGGCTTCGGATCAGCCATGTGGCCATCTCTCTCTCTGCCTCTGCCTCTCTGTACCTCTGCTTTACAAATAAATAAATAAATCTTAAAAAAAAAAATAAAAAAAATAGAGGAAACTAGATGGAGGCAACTGTATGTTCTGCAACTTTTCTGTGAATCTAAGATGATTCTAAAGTAAAAAGATTATTTAAATATAATACAATTTTTATAATATGACGTAGTGTCAGGCATGTGTTAGCCTTCCATGAATGCTCTATTGAGAATAACACTTTTCGACGCTATTGCTTACACATCTCTTGGAACACAAGGAAAGACTAAATGTGGCCTCTAGAGGACAGTGTTGGGTCACGGAAAGAGCTGTCCAATTTCTGCCCAGCTGAAGCTGGTCTATCGTTTTTCTGACCTTTTTTTTTGGACAGGCAGAGTGGACAGTGAGAGAGAGAGACAGAGAGAAAGGTCTTCCTTTGCCGTTGGTTCACCCTCCAATGGCCGCCGCGGAGGCGCGCTGCGGCCGGCGCACCGCGCTGATCCGGTGGCAGGAGCCAGGAGCCAGGTGCTTTTCCTGGTCTCCCATGGGGTGCAGGGCCCAAGCACTTGGGCCATCCTCCACTGCACTCCCTGGCCACAGCAGAGAGCTGGCCTGGAAGAGGGGCAACCGGGACAGAATCCGGCGCCCCGACCGGGACTAGAACCCGGTGTGCCGGCGCTGCTAGGCGGAGGATTAGCCTAGTGAGCCGCGGCGCCGGCCTTTCTGAATTTTTAACCAGGGGGCTGCTGTTTATGCGTTGCGCTTGTTTGCAGGAAATCTGTGCCTCTTCTGCCACCCTGGGCATTGGAGATGGTGTCTCAGCCATGGTCTGTTAGGGAAGAGCCATCTGCAGCGTTTCCAGTTTTCAGCATGGGCTTCCCTCCACCCAGGGCTTGTGACACTGGGTGTGTGTATGTGTGTGTGTGTGTGTGTGTGTGTGTGTGAGGCATTGCTTATGCTGTGCTTGTCATTTGTGAGTTCTCCCATGGAGTCAGAACTACCAAGGGGGACTTCCTTTGTCAACACTAAAGCAGTGTGTAGGTTACTGACGGTGCCCAGAAGCTAGAGGGCTCTGGGCCTTGGCAAGGTTGAGGCTGCTCTATAGCGGTTCACTGCAGCTGGCAGCGGGGGAGGCGAGCTGCTGATCTCGCTTCTGAGCAAATGTCTGGAGCGATCAGGACAGAAACGCATCATTGTAAGATTTCTGCTCTATAGATAATTTCTCCTCTGTCTCTGTCTCTCTCTCTCTCTCTCTTTCTCGTTAAGATTATTTTATTTGAAAGGCAGCGTTACAGAGAGGATAGGAGAGACACAAATCTTCCATTCACTGGCACACTCCCCAGATGGCCGCAATGGCTGCAGCTGGGCCAGGCTGAAGCCAGGGGCCAGGAGTCTCTTCCATGTTGCCTGTGTGGGTGCAGGGCCCCAAGCACTTGGGCCACCTTCTGCTGCTTTCCAAGGCGCATTAGCAGAAATCAGGATCGGAAGTGGAGCAGCCAGGATACAAACTGGTGCTCGTAAGGAGCACCAGCTTTGCCCACTACACCACAAGTCCGCCCCGACCTTGACATTTTAAGAGGCACCCGAGGTCGGGGGTTTCAGAGTCCTGCTTACCACGTAGAGCCAGGTGAGCGAATGCTAGTTTGCAAAAGGCTTGCCTTGGACCTGGAGTTGTTCCTATAGTGATGGGCTCTGAAATTCCACAGCACATCATCCTGTCGTTAGATGGATTGGCCGAGGCTCTGCACACACTGTGTGTGACTATTGCGACATAAAAAATAGCGCTCATTTCTAAGACAGTGCGCCCCACCAAGCTGCAGCCTATAGACTTCTTATTTTTTGCTCAAAGAATAAATCTGTTAAAGGCCCATCCGTTGAATTGGGATCTATGAGCTTTTTAATAGGATTTTTGAAAGGGAGTATAGAATTTATAGCTTCTCATAAACAGCCTAGCATGAAAGTTAAGGTTAACAGTGCTTTTTTCAGCCATGCTATCGAACTTGAACCCATGGGCAGGGGTCCATTTTATTCTCATCTGACAGTGCTAGGATCAGACATTGTCATTCTCGGTGTGCCCTTAACTCGGTGGTGTAACAAGACTGCACTTACCATGTCAGTATTTAATCAATACTAGGATGATCGGAGATGTGCTTTGATCCTTGAGATGATTGCCGCTCTAATGCGGCTCCTCATTCACTGTCCCTGTGCTCAAGTCAGAAGCCCGTCTCCCTCTCTCTCCCACTCACTCATCATGGACGCAACTGCAGGTCCTGTCAGCGAGGTCCCATCAAGTCCTACTTATTCCTCACGTGTTTGCTGAGACACCTTTCTCCACAGTCCCTGCTTCAGCACAGGACCTCAGCACCCCTGCTCGTCTGCCCAGGAAGCCAGTGGGCCCACGAGCAGTGTGATCTCTCAGAGCACACAGCCGGGAGACCGCCAGTGAATTCCCATTGTCATTGGGAAAGCAGGGAGAGACACTGGCATGGCGAGAAGGTCGGGCAAGGTCTGGCTCCTCCTCTGCCTCTCCAGCCTCATCCTGAAACACTGCCTTTGTTGCTCACTGTGTGCCAGCCTGGTGGCCTGCAATGCGATGCCTCAGCACAGAGGCTCAGTGCCTGTGGTTCCCTGGGAGTGGGGGGGTCTCTTCCCTGCTGTCTCGGCCTCCATCCCTTCTGTTCATCCTTTGTAAACCGCTGTGAGGTGTTAATTCTTCATAAATGATTTTCCTGCTTGCTGATCTAAGAAAGTTTCCAATCTTGTGTGCTCCTGTATACCCCTGCTCTTTTAGCTCATTGTACTCACATAAGCGTATAACTAGACGCGCAGGTGTGTGGGTTTTGATTAAAATGTCTCCATTACCAGAATGTAAACTCTGAACAGGGATCGTGCCCAGTGTACTCATCATCAAATCCCCAGCATTTGCCTCTGTGCTCGGGAAAAGCAGTTGCTCCATCCATACATTTGTTGAGTGAATAAATGATTGTTTCTTGAACGTTTAGGTAGAGGAGGAAGAACCCACTGGATACATCCGATATGAAAAATTTCTTCCAGTGATGACCAAAGTACTACTGGAAAAAAGGTAAATAAATGTAATTGTTAGAGAAAGGTAACGCTTTGAATTACATTCATTTCAAAAGAGTTTCCTGATCCACTCTGTGTATTTTACTCAACCAGTGTATCTGAGGGTGGCTGCCTTCTACCCTTTCAGTCTACTTCTGAACTGCAGGTTGGTGAGTGTTTAGAAATATCAACCACAGTAGTATTAACCTGAGCAAAGCATAACTGATGTCAAAGAAGCCAAAGTCATACAGCAAATAATTCTTCTGTTTTATCCGTGATACGTAAGAGTCCTAATTGTCTTCTAGCAAAAGTGTAGCATTAACTTACTAAAATTGGTTGATTGTTCAAGATTTGTTTCCAGATAAATCAGTGTCCATAATGAGTAAAAAAAGAAGTGCTAATGGTTAGCATCCAACATGCCAGTGATTGTCAGCAGCTATTTTCTGTGGGGTTAAGGTGCTGTTAACTTTCATACCCAGAAATCCAAAAGGTTTCAGTGAGAGACATGCTGTTATCCTTGTGCGCTGACAGCTTGTTTCACGTAGTCATTTCTTATGTAGAGACTGTATTTGCTCATTGATTTGCATGATACTTGCTCATTTTTTTGCACGATTATAGATACAGACCAATTCCAGAAGATGTTCTTCTTCGAGCTTTTGAGGTAAGGTCCAGATGATCCATACAAATGAAACATGGATCATGTTGAATTTATTTGTCAGGCAAAAAATAGAGATTCTATCTTTTGTTTTCCCATAGGCTTTAGATCCAGCTAAACGTGGGTTTCTTACTAAAGAAGAACTGATCAAGTATATGACTGAAGAAGGTAAGACTGATTTACAACTTACAACCATGGCCTGTGTGAGGGATTAATAATTTTTTAGCAGTAGGTATTCAAAAGTTAGAGCAGATACTTTAAAGTGAATTATTTGGTTAAAAAGAATTTTTCACTACTGCTATTAGTTTGGGTTTGGGTGGTTTTGGTTTTGTGGGAGTTAAGAGGACAACAGGTGGGTTCAAGGGCAATGGATTGTTGTCTCATAGGAGTTCATAGTGTATCATGATGACTTTTTTTTTTTTTTTTTGACAGGCAGAGTGGACAGTGAGAGAGAGAGAGACAGAGAGAAAGGTCTTACTTTTGCCGTTGGTTCACCCTCCAGTGGCCGCCGCGGCCGGCACACTGTGGCCAGTGTACCGCGCTGATCCGATGGCAGGAGCCAGGAGCCAGGTGCTTTTCCTGGTCTCCCATGGGGTGCAGGACCCAAGCACCTGGGCCATCCTCCACTGCACTCCCTGGCCACAGCAGAGAGCTGGCCTGGATGAGGGGCAACCGGGATAGAATCCGGCGCCCTGACCGAGACTAGAACCCGGTGTGCCGGCGCCGCAGGGCGGAGGATTAGCCTAGTGAGCCGCGGCGCCGGCCCATGATGACTTTTATAAATTGCGGTCATTCTGCTCAGAGGACTTCTGGGATAAAAGGCATGCCACCTAGAAAACATGAACTATTAATCACTATAAATCAGATTGAGTATTCAAATTTAAGTACATAAAATTCCTCTTTAAGGTTTTTCAATTAGTAAGATTATAGATAATACAACCTCAACTAATATGAATGCACACAAAAAACTCAACTTTTATGCTAAAGGACCTTTATGTTTGCTTTGAGCATGAACCACACACGTCGCCCCCACCCCCATGCATACTGCCTGCACACTTGTATGTGCCAACCTGGGAACTGGTTTTCCTTAGAAATGTGTTTTCCTCCCCTGAATGTCAGCAGCTGGCGGGCAGCCTCTTGACAGTCTCATCCTCACCGTGGTCACCCCCGGCCTCCCATACAGAGGTAGAGTTCTGTCTCCTTGCTCCATTCAGTGGTTCAGAAGCACAAGTGCTCTGAGTAGGGGAGAGAGACAGCATCTACATGCACAGCTGCTTTGCCCACTTGGACTTATCTGAGATTAGGTGGAAATCCACGGGGAGAGAGTAACTGATGTTGGCAGTCAGAGCTTTTATCCAGCAGCTCCTGTGGCATCACTCAAATTATTTTATGATTTAATTTTTAATGGGAATGTTAGTATTCCAAGCATCAGCCTCTTAATCCTAAGTATTAATTAAAAGGAGGTCTTAGATTATATTGGGCAATATGAATTTAGTCGAAATAACCAAAACAGTTAAATTTTTATTAATGTTGTGCCTACTGTATGTTTAGTAGTTACTAAGTGTTAATAAGGTATACTGTAGTACCTCTTGGGTACTACCATATTATTGGGGAAATGAAACTAATTTATAAAGTATATCAAATACAAGACAACTGAAAAAAAAAATCAGAAGACCAGGGCAGACTACACCAGGCTACTCGATGTTGGAAGACTTAAGAACATAGGTTCAGGGCCAGTGCTGTGGTGTAGGTAGTAAAGCCGCTGCCTACAGGGCCGGCATCCCAAATGCATGCCAGTTCGAGTCCCGGCTGTTCCTCTTAGAATTCAACTCTCTGCTATGGGCTGGGAAAGCAGTAGAAGATGGCCCAAGTCCTTGGGCCTCTGCACCTGCGTGGGAGACCTGGAAGAAGCTCCTGGCTCCTGGCTTCAGATCAGCCCAGCTCCAACCATTGCAGCCATCTGGGGAGTGAATCAGCAGATGGAGGATCTCTCTCTCTCTCTCTCTCTGCCCTCTGCCTCTTTGTAACTCTGCTTTCAAATAAATAAATAAATCTTAAAAACAAATAGGTTCCTTGGGAAAGTGGAATTTATATGTTTTGTTGGGGGTGGGGGTGAAGTCTTATGGCTTATAGTGCCCTCACACAGTAGTCTCAGCAGATGTTGTTAAGTGAATAAGTAGATGCATTAGTCAAGAGGCTTGTGAGAGGGAGACATGGAGATGGGTTAACAGCATTACCAAAACTAGGAGGCAGGAATGAGTGTGGAGTGTCAGAACCACCGAGAAGACAGGCTAAGCTGTCCCGAAGGTCTTGTTGACAGTCAGTAGGAAATGACTTTATGTTGATTTACTAGAACCAAACTGTGGAGGCCTGGGCTCAGAAATTTGGAATTTACCCCGTGTGCGATGGAGAAGTATGTGCGGTTTTGAGCAGGAGGTTCACCTGGTGCAAGAGTGATGGTGGGAAGGCGACTCTGCTGCTGGCAGGTTTGCTAGATGAGTGAGAAACGGACTGGACGGGGAGATCAGTTAGAAGACGATTCCAGCATTTTGAAGGTTCCATATTTTAAGGCCTTTCCTGGCAATGGGAATGGAAACGGGATTGCTGCTATGAAATAACCTATGGCAGGGTCATGGGCTCCTGCGGAGCAGAGCAGGGGACAGCGAGCGGTGAGAGCTGAGCCAGCAGTAACAGCAGGTGGACTGGTGGTGGACGCTGGTGCAGCCGTGCCGCTGCTGACACAGGGCAGTCAGGACAGACCACCGTGCGCCCTGGGACGGCACACTCCGCGGTTTCCTGGGGCGGGCTCTGCGATAACGTCCATAAAGCGCTGCCTACGGTGAGTTAATAGTACTCCTAAGTCAACCACCGGGTATCAGTGAGCAGCAGAGAACAGTCATTTTCAGATAAGAATATACACGGCTTAAGTTACTCACTCAACAAGTATTGTTAAATATCTTCCACATTATTTGAGTTAATGTGTTTGATGGTGATACATAAAAGTACTCTATGAATCTAAGTTACTATCATTATTAAATGTAACAGCCCCGTCAGCCAGGTGTAACAGCAGTTGGCTAATCCGGTAAAATAGTTGCTTAAGAATTGGTGCTTGAGAGTCTCAACATTCCGCAGATTGTTTTTAACTACATCTATGCTTTATACAAATATGGATGCAGGTTACTTGCACTGTCTTTTCACAGTACCCATAGAGCATCAACCACATTAATCAGTTTGAGAATATGGATTCTAAACGCCCAGGAAGTCATCTATGGTTGTAATAAATCTCATTAAATCAAGTCCCTACAGGATAGAGGTCCCTGTGTGTCCAGGAATGTGTATTGCATCAGATAGCATTTAGCAGGAGGGGAGATCTCAAAGAAGTTTTAAACAAACACTAAACATGTTGCTGCTTATGTGCCAGGTAATAACACATTTAATCCTCATAACAGCCCTATGCAATACGTAGTATTGTTTCCATATCCATTTGATAGACAGAGAAACTGCAGCGTAGAGACATTAGGCAACTTGCCTAAGATCTTAAAGCTAGTAAAAGACAGCCTGCACTTGAACCCAGGCAGTATGGCTTTTAGCCATTAAGCTGTTTGCCTTTCATCCTTAAGCAAACATTGTATACCTGTCTCCTTGCCCAAGGAAGCAGTTGGCTACCTTCAGTATTTTTACTGTGAGCAAGGCATTGTTCTAAGTGGTAGTGTGTGGTAGTTCATTCGACTTACAGATCATGAACTTGACTGCTGGTGTTTGGCCCCTAGTTCCACTGCTTACTCGCAGGGGCAGTCTGCCTTCTTCCTTTGTATGCTACTGATATCATCACTTGTAAATGGGAATAATAACAGTTCTTACCTCTCATAAGGTAATTGGGAGATTAATTTAGTTAATGTATTTGTGAGCACTTAGATCAGTGCCTGGTGTACAGCAGTATTCAATAAATGTTACTATTATTCTTTTTTTTCTTAAAGATTTATTTATTTATTTGAAAAGCAGTTAGGGAAAGAGAGACAGACAGAGATCTTCCGTCCATTGGTTCATTCCCCCAAATGGCTGCAACAGCCAGCTACAGCTGTGCCAGACGTATGCCAGGAGCCAGGAGCTTCTTCCAGGTCTCCCACGTGGGTGCAGGGGCCCAAGGACTTGGGCCATCTGCTGCTGCTTTCCCAGGTGCATTAGCAGGGGCTGAATCAGAAGTGGAGCAGCCAGGATTCAAACCAGGGCCCATACAGGATGTCAGTGCTGCAGGCCTCTGCTTAACCTGCTGTGTTAAATGCTGGGCCCATTCTTGTTCTTTTTTTTTTTTTCTTTTTAAGTCTATTTTATTTGAGAAGCAGAGAGAGACAAAAGAGGAGAGCTCCCATCTGCTGCTTCACTCCCCAAATGCTGGCATTGGCCAAAGTCAGAAGCTGGGAACTAAATCCAGGTCTCCCACATAGGTGGTAGGAACTCAGTTACTTTAGCTGTCACCACTGCCTCCCAGGGTCCGCATTAGCAGGAAGCTGGAGTCAGGATCTGGGAATCAAACCTGAGTACTTCCATATGGGAGGCAGGTGTCTGAACTCCTTGGCTGAACACCCACTTCTCTGTTATTTGTGTTCTTGTAAGGAAATACATCAGAGTTCATTTGGCAGTAGATTTAGCACTTAACAATCGAGTATTCAGAATTTGTCACTTTAATATTTTGGACGTAGGCATGGTCTCATTTGACAATATTATGTTCATCGTCATCAAAATTCCTATTTGAGTAACTTCTCTATTAACTGAACACCAACCTAGAAACCATTGTAATAGTAGGTGATTTAAGTGCATGAAGTAGGGAAGCCTCAGGCTTTGATAACTCACCTGTTTGGATAAGAAACTTTACGGATAAGATGCTTAGGATACCTGTATTTTTGTTTAATGTCAGGACAAAGTGCTGTGTTAAATGGTCTGCAGCCTTTCCAACCTTCCTGAGTTTGCGTCTTTAAGATGGCCCTCATCTGTTATCTGCATCCACCTAACACCTACAGATTTTCTATCCATCTCTTGGGTTTATTTAAAACCAACACTGGAGCAAAGTAGGTTTTTAAATGGTGGATGAAGGGCGTCTCTCACTGGCTTGCCTGGCTCCGCTCAGTTAGCCAGATCTGGCTTAGAGACATTCAGAGATAAAATCATTACAGTTTCTGGTCTCTGTTGTTTCCTCTTCGGCAATTTTGTGCAATAAACATCTAATCATCTCTCCATACTCTTACTAAATAATGATTGGGTGCCCCATAAGACTCGAACTTTGGCTTAATCCTTTGGCAATTTGAACAGTTTTGAAATTTAAATAAGTAAACAAGCAAACCTGGTTCCTGGTATCTTTCTGTCCTCCTGCTGTCTGGCCCAAGTGCCAGCTTCCTAGGTTGCCTGATCTGTGATATCTGCAGGGTTATCTGTGAAACTGCAGGTCCCAGATCCGCCACAGTGTGCCAGGGCCTGCTTCCGGGACCTCTGGGCTTCATGATGCGCTGGTCCATAGCTTCCAGGAGAGCGCCTAGTGACACACTGGGGCCTTGTGGGGCTGCTAGGCGGTTAAGCTGGCCGGTGGAGAGAAAAGAAAAAAAATCAGGTCGCTGTCAGTGATGGATTCTCCTTCTTGTCCTTCCCAGGTGAACCTTTTTCACAAGAGGAAATGGAAGAAATGTTGGCAGCTACGATTGATCCAGAAACAAATGCAATTCATTACAAGGACTATATAACAACCATGATGATAGATGACAGTTAAATGTTCTGAAGACTTCACTTCTAATTGAAAGGACAATTTAAAAAATTGTTTGTCCTTGTTAATTTCACATTTTAGCCAGTAATTCCTATAGCTGATTAAATATCTTATGATAGAACTATTTCAAGATTTTTAAAAAAGATTGTCATAATAATTTAAAACATCTTTTTGCTGTGCCTTGCCTATGGAATGATCAATTGTGAATTATTTAAAAACTATTCTGAAAACATCAAAATAGATTCTTATTTTTGACAATAAAATCCATGTTATCTTCAAATTAATTAAACTGACAAAATAAAGAATGTCTGTAATGACCTAAGGTTTGGCATATAAAGATCTGGAGAAAGGATGGGTGACCAAAAATTCAAAATGAGTAGCAAATGATGCAGGCTTCCTTTTTAAACAATTAACACTTGAACAATCAATGTGGAAGGAGAATTACTGAAATTATTATTAATTTCTTATGAGTGTCAATTACTCAATCTCATTTGAGATTACAATCCCCTATTTTATAAAATTTAATTTGCTGATTGCCATAGTCTGGATCTTAGCTTTAAGGTTGACTATCTCCAAAAGGCCCATATGTAAAAGGTTTGGTCCCCAAAGTCATAAGTTAATGGTATTAGGAGGGTGCAGACTTGTACCAGTTATGGTGTTTAGGAGGTAGGCCTAATGGGAGATCCTTAGATCGCTGGAGGTGTGTCTCACAAGGTAGTTCTTGCTAGTAGGTTGGCCATAAAAGCCTGAGTTGGGCCCAGCCTCTCTCTCTCTCTGCTTGCTGCCTCACCGTGTGATCCTAGCTCTGTCCTTGCCATCCATCACCCTCATCAGAACCAAGCCAATGGAGCTCCCAGAGCTTGGACTGTGAACCTCCACAACTGTGAGCTAAGGAAATCTTTAGTCTTTATTGAGTTGTCTCAGGGGTTTAGTTGTAGTGAAAAGCTGACCAACACACTAGTCCAGCAAGTTACCCTAGATGGGAGAGATGATGAATCTAGAGAAAAGACTGAATGGAAGGGGAAGGTGCCTCGGGACTGAGCACCCCAGGTCCTCCTGTCTGAATTCTGTCACAGGTTCTGACTGACGCCATACTTTACCTACTTTGTCCGCAGAATCGGCTCTGTTTAGTTCTGTTCAGTTCAATTCAATTCATATAATTGGCTTTCTGGATTGTAATTGATTTTTATCTTTAGCATTTTTTTAAAGTTACCCAAAAGTGCAACACAGGATTCCCTCAGAAATTCCATTTTATCTCACATTTGCAAAGGGGCCACTTTTCTTTGTACTCAAACCGTATCCGTGTGGGTTTTACCTCTCCAACTCACCTGCCTTGCTGGCAGCATCCAGTTTAAATCTCGATGGTGTTTTCCTCCATTGCCCCAGCAGGAAGTTGGCTGAGCCTGACTCCCGCCTTCGGCAGAGCCTGCCATCCCCAGTAGTGCTGCCGGCCCAGCTTGTGGAAAGCACTGCGTGTTCTCAGTCTCCTGGGCTCAGGCAGCTGCGTGGCTCCGGGCGGGACTGCAGGCTGGGAGTTGGCATCTCACCCTCCCTCTGGCTCACTCTGGGTCAGGTACTTTGGCTCCTGTGCACCTCTGTCTGGAAAGAGCCCAAGCCAGTCCTGCTTCCAGAAGACAGGGCATGGGTTCAGGCTACTTGACAGGGACCAAAGATTGCTCAAGATAGCAGGCCAGCTGGGGTTCCCACAGATAGCCAAGGGCAGGATGCTGTGCTGTGGACAGGATGTGTTCCCATCTTCCTCACCCTCCTGTCTTCCTTTGCCTTTGGTTACTGCTTCCATGTAGAAAGTGTTGTCAGCCGACCCCTTGAAGAAGGTGACATCACTATGTCACCCAGAGCAGAGAGCCTCCTGGTCGTCCGTGCCGCAGCTTGTGGCAGGCGTGGTGGCCGTCTCCTAGGCCTGCATGTTTCTCAGATCCTGGTTGACAGCTGCTTCGGAAGCACCTGGAAGGCATGTTTGTGAGAGTGCAGACACCTGTGCCCTGTTCCGGAGCCCCCTCAAGCAGTTTCTGGGGGGGACGGGGCCCCGGGAGCTCCATCCGAAGCGATGCCCTCGGGAGCCGTACACGCTTGAGTGTAGAAGCTGCACTCTTGGGCAGCGTTGCATCGTGCAGTTCCTGGGTGGCACGGATGTGTCGTGTTGCTGGGATTCTGCATCCTGGTTTGTGAGGTGGAAAGCACACGGACTGCAGCGCTGGTGTGAAGACTTAAGGAGATCATGGAAGTGAAAAGTCTTTAAAAGCTACAAGGTACGACAGGAATCACTGTTTATAGAAGACCAGCTAAGCAGGGAGGGAGGGAGAGAAGAGGAGGGAGAGACCTGGAAATGTGCCGCCCGGATGTGGGAAGTAAGCAGCTAAGCGAAAGCTAATTTGCGGGATGAGGGTGGTGAGCCTACCCGGGCTGCTGATAGAGACCAGGAGAGTCGCTGTCATGATGCCATGCGTTAGAAGACGTTTAGCTTGTTTCTAGAATGTGATCTTAGGAGGAGACTTCTTTCTTTTTCTAAAAAATTTGCTATGAGTCATAGCACTTTTACTTTTGAAGATTTGTTTATTTATTTGAAAGGCAGAGTTACAGAGAGAGGGAGGCGCAGAGAGAGAGAAATTGATTTTCCATCCACTGGATCATTCCCCAAATGGTCGCAGCGGCCAAGCTGAAGTCAGGAGTCTGGAACTCCATCTGAGTTTACCACATCGGTAGGAGGTGTCCAAGGACGTGGGCCATCTTCTATTGCTTTCCCAGTCCCATTAGCAGGGAGCTGGATCCGAAGTGGAGTAGACGGGACAAGAATGGGTGGGATGCTGGTGTCGCAGATGGCGGCTTACCCTACTGCACCACACCACTATGTCGACCCCAGTCATAGCACTTTTTTTTTTTTTTTTTCTGACAGGCAGAGTGGACAGTGAGAGAGAGAGACAGAGAGAAAGGTCTTCCTTTTCTGTTGGTTCACCCTCCAATGGCCGCCGTGTCTGGCGCGCTGTGGCCAGCACACTGCACTGATCCAAAGCCAGGAGCCAGGTACTTCTCCTGGTCTCCCATGGGGTGCAGGGCCCAAGCACTTGGGCCATCCTCCACTGCACTCCCTGGCCACAGCAGAGAGCTGGCCTGGAAGAGGGGCACCCGGGACAGAATCCGGCACCCTGACCGGGACTAGAACCCGGTGTGCTGGCGCCGCAAGGCGGAGGATTAGCCTAGTGAACCGCGGTGCCAGCAGAAAGATATCTCACTCAGCTGGTTCACTCTCCAAATGCCCACAACAATCAGGGCTGGGCTAGAATGAAGCCAGGAGGCAGGAACTCCAGCCAGGTCTCCCACATGGATGTCGGTTAAGCAAGCTCTCGGGCCATCCTCTGCCACCCCCCAGGATGCGCCTTAGCAGGAAGCTGGAGCAGAGCACAGAAGTGGAAGTGGGCAGGGAAAGCAGAGAGGAGCAGTCGAGGGCAAGGTCACGGCCGCTTTCCTGGGGAATGCTCGGGGTACGTTGCTCACTGACTTTATGGAGGGACAGTAGCCTGCTTCTTGGGCCACTATTGTGGGAAAGTTAGCCACGGCCTCAGCAAGACAGCCCCAGCTAGCTGTATCAGAGCCCTTCCTGGTCGTGACGGTGCTCCTGTGTTTCCGCTCATCCAGCCCGCGTGATTATACGAGCATTTCAGTGGGAACACAAAGCAGCCACCTTGTAGGCCTGACTGGGTGCCTTCTGACTTCTGTTGGTTTTGTAATCTTAAAAAAATCTTTCACAGGCAACCCTTCCTCACCCCCACCCCACCCCACCCCCAGTTAATATAAAAAAAAGACTGGGTAGATGCGGTTAAAGTCCCAGGCCTCTCGGTTCTTTAGGGTTGGCTTACATGTCTGCAATCACCAGTTACAAAATGTCTTGAACTTGGTGGAGCTTAGGTGGAGGAATGAAGCTTATACTTTATATCTTTTAATTACATTTCCCTCTAAAAGATAAAAAAAAAAACAACCTTAGTTTATTTGAGAAGCACAGAGAGAGCTTCTTACTCCCCCAGTGCCCGCACTGATTGGGGCGGGGCCAGGGCCAGAGCTGGGAGCCGGAAGGTAGTCCAGGTCTCCCACGTGGGTGGCAGGGATCCAGTTACCTGAACCATCACTGCCGCCTCCCAGGTCTGCATTGACAGAGATGAGTCAGAGACTGGAGCTGAGACTCAGCCAGGTACTCCGATGTGGGGTGCTGGCATCTCCTCCACTGGGCTACAGCTCACTCCCAGAACACAACTTTTAATAACTGATTAGTGTCAGATTGTTCGGATATTCCTTAATTTATATAGTTAGTTGCTGTTTCTTGGTCATTTCTTGGTCATTTAAGTAACTTTCAATTTTTCACTCTTATACTAAATTATGATGAACATCCACATTGTTAAATCTTTACTTAATTGTTTGCTCAGAAGTGGAACTGTTGAGTCAACTTTAAAATGATGAGGTCCTGGCCGGTGCCGCGGCTCAATAGGCTAATCCTCCACCTAGCAGCGCCAGCACACCAGGTTCTAGTCCCGGTCAGGGCGCCGGATTCTGTCCCGGGTGCCCCTCTTCCAGGCCAGCTCTCTTCTGTGGCCAGGGAAGGCAGTGGAGGATGGCCCAAGTGCTTGGGCCCTGCACCCCATGGGAGACCAGGATAAGCACCTGGCTCCTGCCTTCGGATCAGTGTGGTGCGCCGGCTGCAGCGCACCAGCCGTGGCGGCCATTGGAGGGTGGACCAACGGCAAAGGAAGACCTTTCTCTCTGTCTCTCTCTCTCACTATCCACTCTGCCTGTTTAAAAAAAAAAAAAAAAAAGATGAGGTCCTATTTTGAAGTCTGTAGTTAATGTGTTTTCTGCCTATCCCAGAGAAAGATTGTCCCCATATTCTCCCAAACTCCTCTCAGCATTATTGTTGCTTTTAATTTTGCCAATTTGACAGGCAAAAACAGTATCTTGCTGATTTTGACATGTTAAGATTTGCATTCTGTTGATTACTGGAGCTTGCTAAGGCCTGTGACAGGGGACCTGAGGATTCTACTGGATTCACTCCAGGAGGCAGCAGATTCGAGCCTCCCAGGTTGATGGTTTCCCCAGACAGAAACAGCAGCCCCTGTGGCTGCTGTGAAATGGGGACCCACGAAGCTCGGCATTCCAGGCAGAATCTGAACTCCAGAGATAGGTTTTCTTTCAGAACCATTACTGCTTGGCGGAGGAGATCGGTGAAGTGAGAATGAGCCACTGTCGCTCAGAACAGTTAGCAGGGGATGTCACAAAGATTCTAGGAACTGGGGAAACAGGCCTGCACGTGAGAAG